ATATTAAGTAAATATGAGGCCTCTTGGCTTCTGATTCCTATCAGTGACATATCCAGATACAGTTAGTTTGGTCTAGATGTAAAGAGGATGGTCTCCATCCACAATTCTTTGTTGTTATTGTTTTTTTTTTTAATTAAGTGTTTTTGAAATGAGAAATCAATATTCTTTATTGAAGTAACATTTTAATGGAGACAGGAAATGGATGTATACATATAAAGGTACAAAAATAGCAAGCGGGACACAGTGTGAAGAAAATAGTCATTACCATAAGAGAAAGTGGGAAGAGATGGGAAGCAAAAGGTATTGTTTATATCAAGATCCTAGCCGCATTCTCAGCTAGGTGACATGTAGTCCTAGTATGAGCTACAAAGGGCTCAGGAAGTTTTCAAGGTGGAAGGAGCAGCAAATGCTGAAGTCTTGAGGCAGGACAGACCGGAGGTCTTTCTCCATTGTTTAGCCAACCAAAAAGCCACACGTAGCCTCTGGAGTAATAGTCTTTTTGTAAGCGACATAATTATTAAATAAAATGAAATATCCATGTTTTAGAGAAAAGCAAAACATTATTTCTTTAAACTTCTGACTGTCTTAGTTTTTGTTCCATTTTATTGAAAAGTCTACTGGATGGCTCATTTCTTTCCTTAGAATAGATTTCTGGTCATTCTGAAAATGAAGTCTTACTTCAGATGGTGGCATATGAACACAATTGTAAATTTTACTCATTGTATTTGAGCACTAGTGGCTAAAACTACACTACCCAAAGCCACAATTTCACATGCTCAGCACTTCAGCTCTCCAGGTGGTACTGTTATTCTAATGGTTCTTTAAGAAAGAAACAAAATTCTAAAAAGGATGTCGAGCTGAAAAATACCAATAATTAGCAAAAATATTTTACCTCCCAAGACTGATGCATTTGAAATCTGACGAAATTTTTTTTTTGCTTCCTCTGCTTTGTCACTTTCCAACATTCTGTTAGAAACATATGAACATATATGAACAGCCTACCAGCAACTGCCAGATAACTTCATGAGAGGTGCTTCAGCATGTTATGCTTGGAAATGCCTCATTATATACTTCTGATTTACCTATAAATATGAGTAATAAGATTTGATAAAATTACACCTCTTTCAACAAAGCAACAATTTTTATTATTTTGAAAATTTGCTTTTAACCAGGAACAGTGAACAAGGAATAGGGTTCTTGTTTTTAAATCTATAACCTGCTATTTTTTTTTAAAAAAAAAAAGAAGTTTATTAATTTGACTTGATTTGCAGAAATTTCTCCTTGCTAAGGTATGAGCTTGCTTTAATTTTGCTGTGTTAGGTATCTTTAACTAAAGTCATCTATGTTTCCTGACTTTTTATGCATAAATATGTCAATCTTCCAGTGGGACATTTTTCTTCTACACCCATCCTCTGGATCTGGTATCCTTCGACAATCATTTGAAAGGATGGTGTGATCATTAAATCTTTCTGTTCTCTAGAGGAACTTAAAATTTTTAATTATTTGAGGACCATGGATGGATAGAACCTAGAACCTCTGCTCAGATGTAGACTATAGGCAGCTCAGTCCCCATGTGTATACCCTAGTAAGGGGAGCAGGGGCTGTCTCTGAAATGGACTCTGCTGCCTGCTCCTCACTCAGTTCTCACTGGTAGGGCTGCCTTGCCAAGCCACAGAGGAAAGTGATGCAGGCAGTACTGAGGAGATTTGATAGGCCAGGGTCAATTGGTAGGGGAGGAAGCCTCCCCCTTTCTGAGAACTAGTGGAAGGGGTTAAGGGGAAGGGAGAGGTAAGGTGTGACCAGGAAGAGACAAGGGAGGGGGCTGTAACTGGGATGTAAAGTGAATAAAATTTTAATAAATAATTAAAGTTTAAAATATTTTGTTTATTCTTTTTGTATATTTTGATATCTTTGTATGTAAACCATGTGAATGCCTTGGGCTCTTGATGATGAGAAGTGGTATCAGGTTTCCTGAACCTGGTATACTAAATAGTTGTGAATTTCCATGTGGATCATGAGAACCAGAAAGTAGTCCTTTGAAAACAGGACTCATAAACACTGAGCATCTATCCAGCACACACCTCATCTTTCAGATGCACCCAATGTTCGCAAGCTTTTGGATACTTCTTGTAAAGAGTGAAGTTCATAAAGCCGTCAGAGAGAGATTATTTCTATAAAGGAGAGTAGAATCTAGAAAAAAAATGTTCACTATGTATGTCTTGAATAGACTTAGATCATGTTGGAGAAAGAGAGAGAGTGTCATTAATTATGTTAAAGATTTATTTTTAGTTTCAGTTCTTTCCCCCAAAGAAACAATTTCTAATTAGTAGACTACAGACTTGAGATTTAATTAGCCCATTGTTAAAAGTATATAAATCTAAATGCACAAAATCTTTACTCTATGTGCATATAAGTGGACAAACTCTAACTTATAAAAACTGGCAAAATGTATATAGGGGCTTAGATTTGCTCAGGTCATTTTGGCTATAGGGGCTTTCCAAGATCTAGGCTCAAAATAGACAAAATAGTCGTGCTGTCTATACAATGTTTGCAACCTATAAAACTAGTATTGATCTCTCTCTCTCTCTCTCTCTCTCTCTCTCTCTCTTTCAGAGTATATCTTGGTAGCCTGGGCTGTCCTGACACTCATCCTGTAGACCAGGCTTGTCTCAAAATCTCAAAGATAGCCTGCCTCTCTTTCCTGAGTGCTGAGATTAAAGACATGGCCAACCAACACCTGGCTTAAGAAGACCAACTTTAAAGGCAGTCAGGAAGGGATGGAAAAAAATGATCATCAGTAGTATAGAGGATAGATCCCTTTAATAATGTTTTTTAGGAACTTTTTCAACAAAATCTCATGTTGAGGCTTCATTCTCATACTACAACAGTTGGACATGGAATCTGGGAGAGATGCTTAGGTCTGGGTGATGGATTCACAAATGGGATTTAGCATATCATAAGAACATAAATAAATGTAGTTTCTATCTCCAAAATCTACTAATGTCAGAAAAAGTCTATTAGCCATATAATACAGGATAAACATACTAAAATCTACAGACCTAAAGAAGCTAAACAACAAGGAGGAGCCTAGGAAAGATGCTTAATTTTTGTTCAGAAGGGAAAACAGTATAGACACCAGAAGAGGTAGAAGAGAGGGAATAGGACAGGAACCTACCACAGATATCCTCTAAAATATTCCACCTAGCAGGAGATCAAAGCAGATACAGAGAATAACAGACAAACTTGGGACAGAATGCAGGGAGTCTTATAGAAGAAGGGGATATAGAAGGACCCGAAGGGGTCAGGAGTTCACAAGGAGATCAAAAAAGCCAAAAGAACTGGGCCCAGTGGTAACTGCAGAAACTGATGCATCAACCAATGACCATGCATAGAGAGGACCTAGAATCCCTTCATAGATGTAGCCTATAGACAGCACAGTCTCCATGTGTGTTCCTTATAAGGTAAGGGGCAAAGAGACAGTCTCTGACATGAACCTGGTTGCCTGCTCCTTGATCACTTCTCCTTGGTTGGGAGACCTAGCCAGCCCCCAGAGGAAGAGGATCCAGACAGTCCTGATGAGAACTGATAGGCTAGGGTCAGACAGTAGGAGACGAGGACTTCCCCTATCAGTGGACTAGCAGAGAGGGAAAGGAGAGGAAGAAAGAGCAAGAGTGGGACCAGGAGGAGATGAGGGAGGGGGTTACAACTGGGATACAAAGTGAATAAATTGTAAACAACAACAACAACAACAATAATAATAATAACAATGAAAAAATAAAGACTGCTAAATGATAAAATATATAAAAATATAAGAAATAATATATTCTTAATGCATCAGACCACAAATTATTTACAGAACATTTTGATTACAATTTGATGCTCCAATTGGATAATTTTTAATTAAGAAATACAGTAAATTTATTAGAATGACCTGTTAATATAGGATCAAAGCTAAAATAATTAAAACCAAGCAAAGAAAAATGTCTGTGATTGAAACATTGCTCCAAGCTGGGCAAAGTGGTACATACCTATGATCCAGCACTCTAGGAAGAAGAGGCAGGCAGATCTCTGTGAATTCAAGGACAACCTAGTCTATAAAGTGAGACCAGGACAGCCAAGGCTATACAGAGAAACCGTGTCTAGAACAAAAAAAACAAAACCAAACAAAACAAAAAGTTTGCTCCAAATATCATAGTCTAATAAGGAATATGACAAACAAAATAGATTAAATAGTACTATAAATAAATCAAATAAATTAAACAAACTATATAATTTTGACTTAGCAAAGAACACAATACAGTGAAGAGACAATATACAGAAGAGGAGAAAATATTTTCAAATGATATATCTGATATAGGGTGAAAAGCACAATACCAGAAGAAGCTTAATTCAGAAGCAAAATTATCAATACCCAATTTAAAATAATTATGAAATAATGTGAGAATATCACATAAATGTAAAAAGTTATTTCAAGTTTTATTTATTTATTTATTTTGTTTGTTTGTTTCTGATTTTCCAAGACAGCTTTTGTGTGTAGCCCCAGCTATCTAGGAACTAGATTTGTAAATCAGGGTAGCTTTAACTCATAGAGGTAAGCCTGCCCCTGATTCCCAAATGTTGGGATATAAAGCATGTGCCACCACTGCCTGGCTCATTCAAATTTTAAACAAGTTACCAGCATGTAATAGACTATATCTTTAATAATTTCTGGTTGCTGGGGAAGATTATAATGTGTCTCAGAAAGCAATATAACTTTCTGAAGAGGAATTTATTTCTGTGTCTAGTTATCACATTTTATGGCTATCCAAAATCACTATGGATTAAGCCTTGAGTTGCTATAACTTCTGTTTGGATATCATAATGCAGAAAAATACCATAGCAATTTTTAAAGAAAAGTAAGTTGGTTTATATCTACTGTCATTTTCATTCGTAGAAAAATAACTGCATTTTTGAGAAATGTGGAACTCCTAACATTGACTATCACTTTTTTTCCTCTGCAGCCACTGAATTATGAGAAAAAGAAGTCCTACACTCTCAACATTGAAGGAGCAAATACACACCTGGACTTCCGCTTTTCCCACTTGGGTCCATTTAAAGATGCCACCATGTTGAAGATCATTGTTGGGGATGTGGATGAACCACCACTCTTTTCTATGCCTTCCTATGTCATGGAAGTCTATGAAAATTCCAAGATTGGGACAATTGTTGGTACCGTCTTGGCACAGGATCCAGACAGTGCAAATAGTTTAGTGAGGTATGGTTTAGTCTTAATCAAACAAATATTTGAAAATTTGGTTTATGTTTTAAGATAATTTAAAGTGACTTAAAGTATGGTTAAATCTTATTTGCAAGGGGTCTTGAATTTTTACAATTAAGTAATCTGAAAAAAATAGCAGACAAAAGTTGATTAAATTATTAATATATGAGAGGGCTTAGGAAGACGGATAAGTGGAGAAAGAGATTGCTTTCGAAAAACAAAACAGATTATGTGTCATCTAAACCTCTGATAGAATTGTTGCTTATAATTACAGCAGTCCTTTGTGCATTGGACGTATGACAGGAGTCTACCGCAGAAGGCATCTAAAAGACCCTACCAAGCAGCGTTTCTAAACAGATACTAAGACTCATAACCAAACCTTCAGGAGAAGGGGAGTTAATATGACTGGGAAAGGATAGGAGCCCCACAAGGACCAAATATATCTGGGCACAGGGTTTTTTTCTGAAACTGTTTCTCCAACCAAGGACCATGTACAGATATAATATAGAACCTTTACTCAGACGGAGCTCGTGGTAGCTCAATAACCAATTGGTTTCCCATAGTAAGGGGAACAGGGACTATCTCTGACAGGAACTCAATGGCAGGCTCTTTGACCTCCCCACCCCCCCAAGGGAGGAGCAGTTCTGCTAGGCCACAGAGGAAGACTTTGCAGCCAGCCCTGAAGATACCTGATAAAACAGGGCCAGACAAAAGTGGAGGAGGTCCTCCCCAATCCGTGGACTTGGAAAGGGGTAGGGAGGAGATGAGGGAGGGAGGGTGGGATTGGGAGGGAATAAGGGAGCAGGATACAGCTGGGATACAGTTAATAAAATGTAAATAATAATAATAAACAATAAAAAGAGTAAAAAAAATAATTACAGCAGTCCCAAGGCAAAGATAGTGATCCTTGAAAGCAACTAAGTAGAGGCTGTTTATCGTCTAGCTCTGTTTTGAACACAATACCTTTCCCCAATAAAAAAGAGAAGAATGATAGAAAGACTCCTCATATCAGCTTCAAGTCTCCATACACACACATGTTCATTTGTATTCACATCCATATGGCTATCATTCACATGAGAATTCATGCACACAGATGTGTGCATCACACCCCACATACACAGAGAAAAAGCGAGAGATGAAAAGACATCTACTTCTACACCAATGTTGTAGAAAGGAAATTAATTAAATGTTGCCTGAGGGAAAATGTATTCAGAACATTAACTAGAGAAACTTTGATCAATTGGAAATAGAAGGTATGATTTTCTGAGGATAAAGGAACCTATCTGTTTTTTTTGGTGGACAGAAGTGTCTAGAACATAACATTATAGGAAGACCGACTGAAAAAGACACAGAAAAGATCTCAGGATACCCAAATGTAGCCAAAAACCCCCAGTTCACTTCAAAAGAATTCCCTGACCACTGCTCCCTGGTGGGGCTGTCTCTCCAGTCCAGGAGGAAAGAGGACTGGATAAGTCCTCATGTGGCTTAAGGATCTGGGCCGATGCTGGGGCTCCTCTTATCTGAATACTGGAGAGAGGGTGGAAGAACAGGAAGGGAGGGTGGACATGGGAGGAAAGGAGGGAGGGGCAAGGATCTGGATATAAAGTAAATACATTAATTAATTAGTTAAAAAATGATCTGGCCCAAAATTTTCATAAGATTAAGGGTGAGAAACTCTGATACATATGAATATAAATTGAGGGTTATAGAAACTGTGCTCATGAAAAGAAATGTAAAAGATCTTTCTGGAATACAGTGTCAGCACTTGTAAGTCACATATTCCATGGTCTTGTGATTGCTCCCACATTCACCCATCAATCTAAAAAATGAACTAGTTCTATGAATGACTTATTGTCCTGTGTTATTTCCAATTCCCTTAGTATTTTCCGCATGTTATTGGAAAATGAACTGAACACTCACAGCATTAGATGTTGCTGCAGAGAGATGATTGATACATTGTCTTCAAATGCTAATGGGTTCATTAGCATAACCATTATTTTATGTTTTGTTTTGATTCAAAAAATAAAATGAATTTACTTCATTTGCCTTGAAATAATTAGGAACTGTACAACTGTTGCTAAGGTGTGTAATTTACATAGCATTTGTAACTTGATTTTAATAAAAATGTGCCATTCACACAGGAATCAAGGTGCAAACAATGAAAAGAAAACGAAAAATAATAACAAAAATAAAAACAAGCCCCTTTAGTCTTTCTTTCATGGGGATCAAATGTTTGTAGTAATTAAGCAAAGTACTCTGAGGGGTTGTGGCTTGTGTGTGCCAGAGAAAGGAATTAATTTTCTATTTGTAGAATTGATAATAAAAAATGATTTACAATCTTACAGGAATTTGTGACAGTGTTCTGGGCTTTATTCTTTGATATTTAAGTATTTAAAGTGTTACATTATTCCTATTTTTATAGCAAACCATATCAAGGTTTTATGTTTTCTGTTTGTAGGATAGCTCAAAATGACATGCAATTTTCAGGAATACAGTTATCATTTTTTTGTTAAAACTATGGTCAGATAAGAGGGGGAAAGGTCTTCTCGTATCAGTGGTCTAAGGAAAAGGCATAGGAAGAGAAGAGGGAGGGTGGGTGGGACTGGGAGGAGATGAATGGGGGGACTGCAGCAGGGATACAAGCTGAATAAATTGTAATAAATGAATATATAAATAAAATTATATATATAAAATCAGAGGTGATTAGCTTGCTAACACTGGAAGCCCATAAGTTTAAACAATCTGCATTTACTTTCTCGCTTAATATCAGTGGAACTGAGGAACTTCACCTAGGAGGTGTTAAAAAATACAAAATCCTGTTTTTGACATGGGCTCTCAGAAATCTCTATTTGTTGCTACCCGTTGGTTTATCAAATAATTTTTTTTTGTTCCCCCAAAATTTGGAATTTCATTAAATTGTTTGATAATGTATAGATTTTTAATGTATAGAAATTTTAACACATTTGACAGAGAACATTAATTTTAGATTTGGAATACTTTTCAGGCACCACATAGTACCTTCAGTGGATTTCAAATAAAAAACAAAAACATGATGTCTATATTTAAAGCATGAATTTTAATTTCTAGGAAAGTTTTAAATAATCTGAAAGCCAATGATTGTAGCTGGAGTCTTGTTGTTTGAGTAGATAGATACATACAGAGAGAAGGGGTTTAGTGAAGGCTTAGTTTAAACATCACACACATGTGACACTTGTAATGTAAGGAGCCACAGATGACTAGAGCCGCAGATGAGTAACATCTGAAGAAATGAATGTTGGGGTCTCAATCAAATATGGGTATTAAATACTGAGGCAACATGCTCTTTTCTTGCTTAATAAAATAGACAATTTCTTAAGGTAATACAGGCATCTGGCATATAATATATATTCTTACACGATCTATGTGCTGTTACATAATCTATGTGCTGTTACACAATCTATGTACACAGTATTTTATTAGACAGTGAAGTATAATGCCAGATTTACCATATAACAAATGTTCCTTTTGTATTATTTACCTAGAATGATTATTTTTCTAATATTTGTGTGGTTAATGCATTTCATGCCCTAATCTTCTGAAATAAAATTTTTAAATATGAAATAAATGCTACATTTCAGATGTGTGTGACCTTTAGTTAAGCTGCAGAGGAAGCCTAGCTTTCATGTTATTCCACAAGATGTGAGATAATTAAAGATTATCAAATTGTATTCAACTATTAGTCACAATCAAATAACTTATAAAACAGCTACAGGAAAAAGAAATCTCCGTGCATTTTCTTTACCACTAGCATTCTGTATTTACAAGCATACAAAGGACAAAATCTGAGAGAAATAATTTATAGAAATTATTTCTATATAATTGAGAGAAATAATTTATAGAAATATTTAATCTAATAGTTAGATTAAAGTATAATCTCTTTTTATTTTTAGAGCAAATCAGTACAGAAATATATTTTTGACATACGCTTGAAATCAAGTATTTATTGAAATATAAAGAATATTATAGATAAACAAGTACCTATGAGAAAAGAGATTTTTTATTTTGATTTTTTATATTAATTATAGTTTATTCATTTTGCTTACCAGCTGTAGCCCCCTCCCTCATTCCCTCCTAATCCTACCGTTCCTCCCTCATCTCCTCCCTGCCCCTCTCTAAGTCTACTGATAGGGGAGATCGTCCTTCCCTTCCATCTGACCCTAATTTATCAGGTCTCATCAGGACTGGCTGCAATGTCCTTTTCTGTGGCCAGTGTATCAAAGCAGATGCAGAGACTCATAACCAAACCTTGGGCAGAGTACAGGGAATCATTTGAAAGAAGAGAGAGTTAGTAAGACCTGGAGAGGACAGGAGTGTCACAAGGATCAAATATATCTGGGCACAGGTGTCTTTTCTGAGACTGATTCTCCAACCAAGGGCCATGAATGGATATAACTTAGAACCCCTGCTCAGACGTAGCCCATAGTAGCTTAACATCCAAGTGGGTACCATAGTAAGGGGAACAGAGACTGTCTCTGACATGAACTCAGTGGTGGGCTCTTTGACCTCCTTTCCCTCTGAAAGAGGATCAGCCTTGCTAGGGCGAAGAGATTTTGTTATTGAAATGAAACACAACTTTTCCAATACAGTTGAACATGAACATTAATTAACTTTACCCTATATGTACAATATAACTGAGAAATTGTGTTCCACATGAAAAATGCAGTGATTTGTTTAAAGTAGGAATTGTTGAAAAATTACTTGATTAAAGAAAGTCATCCTTGATACTGACTGTCGTTATAGTTGTAGATTGCCTTTCTTTTGGTCAGTGAAGTGATATTTTTAATAATAAATTTTCATCTTATTTTGACAAATTGAAGTTTTTTTTCATTTTCCCACCGTTTAAAACATAAAAATTACAAGTATTAACAGATATGCATGTTCCTTGTCATAATAAAAAGTTGTAAACATATAGAATCATAACCCATATTTCTGTGTAAGAAAGGAACCTCTGCCAGAAGTTTTCTTGCAAGGAAAGGTGCCAATACAAGCACTTACATGTTAGTGCTAAATTAGTAAATGACTACATTATCAACTGGTCCAATTAGAAGGTTTTTATGGACTATTGGACAATTAGGAATTAGCAACAAGTTAATTAGCTAATTATACATTCGATAATCTAATTCTACAACATTATGAGTACCATGCTTTCTTAATGGTTACAGATTTGAAGCCACTCTCAGCAGATTATATTAGCTTTATTTTCACTCCTTTTCAATAGTCTACCCTACAGAGAAGAAATACAAGAATAATTACGTATTTTGTTTCACATGTGTTGGAAGGGTTCACTCATTTATTATTTAGCCCAGTGTTTGGAACCACTCTGAGGTAGAGAATCATTTGATGGGAGCCATGTATCAAAAAAAAAAAAAATGCTATTGTTAGCATCCAGCAGTGAAATTACAGCAGGAAAGGACTAGGGCAGATAAAACCTCAAACTCATGTTTTTTGGACATATTTCCTCTAAATAAACTCCCCCTCTTACTTTCCACCACTCCTCATTAAGGGCTTTATTTCATGAATGCATGAGAACATTAATCTGTAAATTAAGTCAGAAGCTTCATTGTCTGACTTTCTCATCAAAGGTTCTAATGAGTAGTCCTAATTTATTTATTTCCTAATGCAAGTGCCGTTGCGACTAAATACTTTAGATCGTGTGTAGATTCTATTTTGATGGTTATTTTACTTGTCATATAGTAAGAATGTAGCAGTGACAGAGCTACAAAGTTTTACTACACTTTATTTATAAAAAAAATATTGGAATGAATTTATCGTACAAAGTAATGGGTTTCACAAGATCATTCCCATTTAAGAATTTTATATACTTTGACAATATTCACTTTTGATACCCTTCCTTCACTTTTTAAGTACCATTAGCTTAATATCATCTCTCAGACACTCTTTCTTTTACATTATTTCTCCCACAGCTTTCAATTTCCAATGTGGCCTGCATATGAGTGTGTGTCTTTTTAAAATGGAGTATACTCAAATGTGTGCAAACTTTATTCATATCTATTTCCATGAAAGCTACATAGATTTATTCAGTACGGTTGAATAAAATTTTATTCTTTGGTAGTGCATATTTTACCTATCAACTCATTTTTTAAATTGATTATATTATTTATTTATTACAATATATTCACTTTGTATCCAAGGCAAACAGGATAGACATCAGAAGCAGGAGAAGACAAGGAACCGGACAGAAACTTTCAAAAGGGAACCTCTAAAAGGCTCTACTCATAAGTGTATGGAAGGAGATAGTGAGACTCATAGCAGAGTGCAGGAAACCTTGTGGAAAAAGAGAGAGCTAGAAGTACCTGGAGAGGTCAGGAACTCTACAAGGAGACCAACAGAACAAAAAAAATCTGCACCCATTGGGGCCTGTTGAAATCAATACTACAACCTAGGACCATGCATGGAGAGCCCTGTGCTCAGAGGAAACCCATAGGCTGTTCAGTTTCCAAGTGGGTTTCCTAGTAAGGGGAGCAAGGGTTGTTTCTGACATGACTCAGTGGCCCACTCTTTGCTCACCTCCTCCTAGGGGCTGCAACCTTGCCAGGCCACAGAGGAAGATGATGCAGCCAGCCCTGATGAGACCTGATAGGTTAGGGTCAGATAGAAGGGGATTATCAACTCTTTATTGAGAAACACCTACTGTAAGTAGTCAGGGGTACTTGATGATCTAATGTGTTTCTTCATTTATTCATTCATTCAAATTTCTTCTCATTACATGTATGAGATTCAAACTCATTTTAATATAATATTTTTAATAATTCAGAATTTCTTACAAGTGTACAATGTGTTTTGATCATGGCCACCCTACAACTCTTCCCAGATCAGCAACCCATTCATTCCGACTCATAATTTATATAAATATATAGAGTCCAGTGTGGGCTGACTAAATATTCATGGGTCTAGGATCATCTACTGCAACATGGTTCTTATATGCTGGAATGTTGACTGGCTGTATGTAGTTGAGAGCCACATAATGTGGGTATTTGGAAGTGAACTTGGGTTGAGTGCAAGAGCAGTATTTGCTCTTATCTGCTGAGCCATCTCTCCAGCTCCCAAGTATTGTCTAGTTTTAGTCACAGAATTTGTTAATTTTTCTGAAGTATATTTGATATGTGATTTAACTATTAAAAACTATTCAAGGTTCTAGAAATTTCTTTTTTAAAACAATTCTTTTTTCAGTTTTTTATTTTTATTTATTTTATTTTATTTTTTAAATATTAGTTATAGTTTATTGACTTTGTATCCCAGTTGTAGCCTCCTCTCTCATTCCTTCCCAATCCCACCCTCCCTCATCTCCTCCCTGCCCCTTTCCAAGTCCACAGATAGGGGAGGTCTCCTCCTCTTCCATTTAACCCTAGCTTTTAAGGTTTCTTCAGGACTGGCTGTAATGTCCACCTTTTGTGGCCTAGCAAGGCTGCTCCTCCCTCAGGGAGGGGGGTGACAAAGAGCCAGCCATTATAATTCTTAAGTCAAATATAGAAATTGAAACACAGTTATAATTTAATTCACTTGAATTAATAACTCCCTTTATTACGTTATATTGTCCTTGTTTATCATTACTTACAAAGAAGACTTCTATCTTTTTTGCAGGTATTTCATCAACCAAAGTCCTGAAGAGGACAGATTTTTCAATATTGACGCCAATACTGGAACCATTAAGACTTCAAAAGTTCTTGATAGAGAAGAAACACCATGGTACAATATAACAGTGACTGCTTCAGAAAACGGTAAACTGCTTTATGTATCCCAGGAAACAATGGTTTTATACATTAAATCATATGCAGACTTTTCCTGGTCAGAAAGGTACTACCCATTTTTAATTTTGTCAGATACCACAGATTGTATAGATGAAGCAATTCACATATCTGGATGTAATGAGTTGGTTTTATAGCTTTTCCTTCACTTGCATACCAGCATGAAGTTAGGAAATTGGCTTTATAGAATGATTAGTCCTAATCTTTGCGTCAAGAGCACTTGATTTTCCTCTTAATTGTGCTGTTTTTCTGTTCCATGTACTTATACTTCACTTATGCCACCAAGTCTTTTCAACAAGGGTACTCATTATCTGGCAGTTCAGCCCTTAGCTATCACTATAATATCCTGGCTTGAATTAGCACTTACAGAATTTACTGTGAAAGAATTACATAGGAAATCTCAACAGTATATCAAACGCCTCTTTATGCAAATCATACAACACAAAGCTGAGAAACTGGACATCGATAGAGAGGATTGCATAAACACCTAAATTTAAAAACACCTATTATGTAGGCTTTCCAAAAGGAAAATATATTAATAAAAAATAAAACAAAATGTATAAAGTGATTTATTTTCTCAATTATGGCATCTTAATACATTAGAAAATAAATAAAAGCACCATTTGACTTTAGTTTAGAATTGTAGGCTAAAGTGGCATAAATCTTTATAAAATATTTCAACGCACTTATGAAAAAACATAAATACAGTTGCAGTAGTATTTAATAGTGAAAAATATTGTTATGTGAACTGGAATAATGCTCTTTCTTTCCTAAAGATGATAGAGAAATTAAAAAAATATATTAAAATATCCATTTAGATATATGATGATATTTATCTGTCATTTTAAATTATATAATTTATTTCTTTTTCCTTTATCACAACAAATCAATGAACTCTGAAACATTTATTTTTCTTGCAAAGTAAGGCAAATTACAAACACATGCTTTTAACTCTAGAATGGATTCTTGATGTTGGTTCCACCAGAACAATTATAGAATTTGTGCTGATTTAGGGCTGATCAGTTTCACTTAGAGTATTTTTTTTAATAGTTGATCCATGTTGTAGACTGAGTCATCACTACTCCGTAGCTTTCCATTCCTAAAAACATCTTCCAGGGTTATAAGTGTTTAGCACATTTTATTTAACTCCCCTTACTGATGAGTTTCATTGTTGCTTTACTTATTAATAATGTCATGCACATTTGCATGAAAATACTAGGGTAAGAATGTTTCCATTGCATTTTCTTGAGTATATTCTTAAGTGTAGAATTGCTGTCTCACGTGGTAACTCTGTGCTATACCACTTCACTGACAAACTACTTTCTCATGAAGCTGCACCTTTTTATATTCCAGCAAATGAGATTCCGAATTCTGCACATTGTAATTACTAATACTGTTTATACTCTCAGGGGATGATAGTTGCATGCCTGCCCTATATCTTTGTTATAAATCCATGCAAATCAACAATAACCTTTTAATTTATTCTGTACTTATTATTTACATTCTTTTTAAAAGTAATAATTTTGATCATTTTTGAAAATTTTATTCATGCATACAATGTATTTTGATTATATCTCCCATTTCTCCCATGGGAACTACAACCCCCCCCTCTTGTTTTCTCTCAACTTCATGTATGCTTTTTCTTTTTTAACTTTCAAAATACATTTTGTGTTGTCCATATTGCCATATTTATGTGGCCATTCATTAGAGCATGGCCATCATAACTTAAAGGAAGTCATCAAATCTCCATGGCCCTCCCAATCGATGCTGAAATGTTGCCATGCTTCATCTAGTTCTGTAGTCACTACTGTGAGTTCATAAATGCTTCATCCTGTCTTTTCAAGAAGACATTGTTTCACTATGTTCTGTCCAACCAATAATTTTATAATATTTCTGCTTCCATGTTTATTGAAATTATATTTTCATCATACTATTGAAAAAGAGATGATCACTAGAATCTTTTTAAATTTTATTTATTTATTTACTTATTTACTTAGATTTTTTAATTTTTTATTTAAATTTTATTAATTACACTTTATTCATTTTGTATTCCCCCATAAGCCCCTCCCTCCTCCCCTCCCGATCCCACCCTCCTTCCCCTTTCTGCATGCATGCCCCTCCCCAAGTCCACTGATAGGGGAGGTCCTCCTCTCCTTCTTTCTGATCTTAGTCTATCAGTTCTCATCAGAATTGGCTGCATTGTCATCTTCTGTGGCCTGGTAAGGCTGCTCCCCCCTCAGGGGGAGGTGATCAAAGAGCAGGCCAATCAGATTATGTCAGAGGCAGTCCCTCTTCCCATTACTAGGTAACCGACTTGGAGACTGAACTGCCATGGGCTACATCTGTACAGGGATTCTAGGTTATCTCTATGAATAGTCCTTGGTTGGAGTATGAGTCTCTGGGAAGTTCCCTGTGTTCAAATTTTCTTGTTCTGTTGCTCTCCTTATGGAGTTCTTGTCCTCTCCAGCTCTTGCTATTTCCCCCTTCTTACATAAAATTCCATTCACTCTGCCAAATAGTTGGCCATCAGGCTCAGCATCTGCTTTGATAGTCTGCAGGGCAGAGGCTTTCAGAGGCCCTCTGTGGCAGGTTCCTAGGTTGTTTCCTGTTTTCTTCTTCTGCTTTCAGAGGCCCTCTGTGGCAGGTTCCTAGGTTGTTTCCTGTTTTCTTCTTCTTCTGATGTCCATCCTCTTTGCCTTTCAGGATGGGGTTTGAGCATTTTCGCTAGGCTCCTCTCTTTTGCTTAGTTTGTTTAGATGTACCGATTTTAGCGGGTTTATCCTATGTTGCATGTTTATATGAGTGAGTATATACCATGCGTGTCTTTTTGCTTCTGGGACAACTCACTCAGGATGATCCTTTCCAGGTCCCACCATTTACCTGCAAATTTCATGACTTACTTATTTTTCATTGCTGAGTAATATTCCGTTGTATAGATATACCACAGTTTCTGCATCCATTCTTCAGTTGAGGGGAATCTGGGCTGTTTCCAGCTTCTGGCTATTACAAATAAAGCTGCTACAAACATGGTTGAGCAAATGACCTTTTTGTGTACTTGAGCCTCTTTTGGATATATGCCTAGGAGTGGTATGGCTGGATATTGAGGAAGCACTATTCCTAGTTTTCTGAGAAAGTGCCAGATTGATTTCCAGAGTGGTTGTACAAGTTTACATTCCCACCAGCAGTGGAGAAGGGTTCCCCTTTCTCCACAACCTCTCCAGCATGTGTTGTCACTTGAGTTTTTGATCTTGGCCATTCTGATGTGTGTAGGGTGAAATCTCAGGGTTGTTTTGATTTGCATTTCCCTAATGGCTAATGAGGTTGAGCATTTCATTAAATGCTTCTCTGCCATTGGATATTCCTCTACAGAGAGTTCTCTCTTTAGCTCTGTTCCCCATTTTTTAAGTGGATTACTTTGCTGCTTTTCAGCTTGTTTAGTTCTTTATATATACTGGATATGAGTCCTCTGTCAGATAAAGGGTTGGTGAAGATTCTTTCCCAATCTGTAGGCAGTCGTTTTCTTTGATGACAGTGTCCTTTGCTTTACAGAATCTTTTCAGTTTCATGAGGTCCCATTTTTGATTGTTGCTCTTAGAGCCTGTGCTGTTGGTGTTCTGTTCAGGAAGTTTTCTCCTGTACCAATGAGTTCTAGGGTATTCCCCACTTTTTTTTCTAGCCGATTTAATGTGTCTGGTTTTATGTTGAGGTCTTTGATCCACTTGGACTTCAGTTTTGTGCAGGGTGATATGTATGGATCTATTTTCATTTTTCTACATGTAGACATTTAGTTGGACCAGCCCCATTTTTTGAAGATGCTATCTTTTTTTTTTTTTTTTTTTTTTTTAGATGCTATCTTTTTTCCATTGTATGGTTTTGGTTGGCATCTTTGTCAAAAATCAGGCATCTCTAAGTGTGTGGGTTTATATCTGGATCTTCTATTTAGTTCCATTGATCCACCATTCTATGCCAGTACCATGCAGTTTTTATAACTGTTGCTCTATAGTACAGCTTGAGATCAGGGGTGGAGATACCTCCAGAAGATCTTTTATTGTAGAGGATTGTTTTAGCAATTCTGGGTTTCTTGTTATTCCATACAAAGTTGAGAATGTTTCTTTCCAGGTCTGTAAAGAATTGTGTTGGCAATTCGATGGGAATTGCATTAAGTCTGTAGATTGCTTTTGGTAAGGTGGACATTTTTACTATGTTAATCCTGCCAAGCAATGAGCATGGGAGATCTTTCCATCTTCTCACATCTTACAATTTATTATTTTGTTTCCCAGCTGTAACCTCCTCCCTCATCCCCTCCCAATCCCACCCTATCTCTTTCTTCTTTTCCCATGCCCCTCCCCAGTCCACTGATAGGGGAGGTCCTCCTCACATGCCATCTTACCCTAGCCTATCAGGTTTCATCAGGACTTCTGCATTGTCCTCCTCTGCGTCCTTATAAGGCTGCTCCCCCCATCGGGGGAGGGGTGATCAAAAAGCCAGCCACTGGATTCATGTCAGAAAGAGGCCCTGTTCCTCTTTCTAGGGAACCTACTTGGACACTGAGCTGCCATGAGCTACATCTGTGCAGGTGTTTTAGGTTATATCCATGAATGAACCTTGGTTGGAGTATCAGTCTCAGAGAAGCCCCCTGTGCCCAGTTTTTTGGTTCAGTTGCTCTCCTTGTAGAGATAGTGCCTGCACTTGTGGTTCAGTGGTAGAATTCTTATGAGAATCTTTACATTGCTATTATAAGGAACACAGAAATGGGTTTGTTTCACATCATTCTGGATGATTTTTATTTTCTAACTATCCAGACTAAATGTGTAATTTTGCATCTTAGTTTTGGAAAACATTTAAATAAATAATATTATGAATCCAATGGAAACTGAGATTAATTTATTAAAATATAAATAAAGAAATGTTGGAAAAAATAAGCAAACCTTTTAGAAGAAAGATACAATTCTCAGGATTTAGATACAAAAATA